AGAAAACTCTCTTTGCTGTTAGCAAGAGACCTTGGAGTGCACCCAGAAAATTGCTGTCTCTTTCTGTGACAGACCAGCGCTCACCAGCTTTAGACATGAGGTTGTGTTGTGGGGAACTGTTATCAGTAACACGCCTGAGTTCATTGTTGCTTTTCCACAATTAAAGCTTTGACAGGGGGTCTCGGCCCCGCTCTCCCCAGCCCGGCTCACAAGGACCCCTGTTGCCCAAACCGGAGCGGGCACGACCCCGTGTGTTCTGTCATAGGAAAAGGTTACACTGATTATATATGGGAACTGCATTCAGACTGGAATAACTCATCCTTTCAGCAGCACTCTCCTCTCTCGTGTTTTTCCTGAGCAAAATGACATTTCTGGGGTGACGGTATTGAACTCGCGGGATCTGGAGCTGGGGGTGTTTACTTGTGTATCTGATAACACCTGAGTCGGATATTTTACTAAACTAATTTTTTGTTGCTGTATGACTCACAAGCTTCCTCCCATTCCAATTTTTAACTTTTTCTTCTTTTTAAACTGGCCGCAGGGGGCTGTTGTCCGTGCCGCGTCCCAGGCGGGGCGGGGGGGGGGGGGATGGATGCCAGGCCTGTCAGATCTGCCGAGCGGCCTCGGCTTCGCTGACACGACCGTTGCTAAAATGAAATAATTTCAAATTCTATGTGGCCTCTTCCTTGTCAAAATCCCAGTGAATGTGGTTACGTGATGCCATCAGAATGACTCATCGCCATAATTACATATGTTCTAAGGGGTTATTCCCATTGTATTATTAAAAACTAGTGATGTTTGATTTTTGGCAGGGACTGTCTTCCTTGTATGATCTACAGATTTTGTCAATTAAAGGAAGGAAAAATAGATTTCTAAGACTTCAGAACAAGACTGGACTTGTACTCAGAGCACTTTTTCAGTGTGGTGTTGAGCTACTTTTATTCGACAGGATAAAGGCAACATCAGCCCTCTTGCTCTCCTTTTTGCAGCGATGCCCAGCAGAGCATAAGGACAGAACTGGGGTCCTTAGCCAGCCCTGAAAATCACCCCGAGCTCTGCCAGAAGATACTGTAGATGGTTTATCACCGCAGTAGTTTTCCCAACTCCATTCCTCGGGGGTAGGATTCCAGGATATAGCAAGCTGGAGGGAGGAGAAAATCAAAGTCAAGCAGAAAAGGCAAAAGGGTGAAAAAGGGCTCTGAGGGCACGGGTTGCGCTGCACCCAGCAGGATGGAGCCCGGGAGCGAGGGTCGTGCACGGCCCCACGCAGCTCTCGCAGGCGCGCAGAGCCTCTGAACGCACACCGACGCTGCAGACCCCTCCCGGGAATCAGGCGGTTTCAGCAGTGGATGGCAGACGAGGCTCTAACCAGGTGTCTTCACTGTGCTGTAAATAGCAATACATTATCTAGCTGGTTGCCTCTTTTTTTTTTTTTTTTTCCCACTAAGATCCTGCTGCTCTTCAAAAATCATGGAGACTCTGGCAAGCAGCTCCATCTAAACTCTGATTTAGCATCTGGTTGGGTATAAAATATTATCGTGCACGTAAACACCATCGGTGTGATTTATTGATGATGACATACATGGCTGGTATTTCTGTAATTTTAATAGAGATTTAAAAAAATGTTATGCCTAACCTCTCTCTGTGAAGACTATTGATTTAAAATCTGTAAATATGTATAAAATATCCCTTTTAGTGTTCTCAGACACTGTAATCCAAATAACAGGACCAGGGATAACCTGTTTCACTATCCCACTCTATTTCCTTTAATCAAAGCTAAGATTTCTTCTGAGTGAGAAATCATTTTAACATAAACATGAACTAAAAGTATATACATTGCCTCCATCTCCATGGGGGTAGAGAGCTAGTAAATTACTCTTTGAGGAGTACGTGTGCCCACATTTGACTGCAGCTGATGAAAAATGCAGATTTGTGTTACACCGAGGATAAGAACATCATACAGCCAGCCTGTGTTTGGTGAAGATTGTCTGCTTTGGCTCCTAAATCTGGGTAAATGAGATAGGAATGAACCAGTTCCAAGCCCAGGTTTGTAAGCTGGTGACATACGATTCCTCCCCTTTGTGCCCCATTACGTGGGATGAATGACCCGAAAGCCAAGCGAGCTGCCTGGGAACTGTCCCGCAGGGCTGGAGCAGCAGCCTGGGGCGAGGACAAACACCGGTTTGTCCAGCAGCAACCGAGTTTCTGACACGGGATCTATCCGTCTATACATCTAGTGACGGCTTCTCCAGTTCAGAGCTTGGTGCTCAAAGCACCGAAGGCGGATGTGCGCAGAAGCCGGAGCAGCAGGGTTTCCCTGCCGTGATCCCCTCCGGTGCGTTTGGCGTCTGGGGGGCAGGCAGCAGCCACCCGGAGAGGCTCCCTCCTTCTGGACGCTTTGGGCAGTTGGGATTTGGCTCCAGTTTTGGTGAATAAAGCAAACCAAGCTCGTTCAGCAAACCCATTTGTTTATTTATTTGTTCAAAGAAGCGTATTTTACAGTGATGCCATGGAGAGAACACCACAACAGCTTTATCTTGGGGGCTGAAAGAGCGCGTTCATGTGCATGGGAGTGGAGGTGACACCAACCTCTCTGAGGACATGCCTGACTGTAGAGCTCAGCGTGCAAACCACGTTGGTCAAAGGCAAAATGTTTCTGAATTCATAAATGAACCAGCTCTCTGGGAGTGAGAATAAGCACAGTTCTCGAGCTGATTAAAAAAAAAAAAAGAAATTTGTTTTTTATATTTTCCTCCTATTTTTTCTAAAACAATTTAAAATCACCCATACTGAAAAATCTTGGATTTCCTTATTATGCATTTTAAACTTTCCTTTGCCTTTCTGTCTTTTTCTTCCCATTTTGCTGTGAAAAAGGAAGAAAGAAGGGAAAAGGCTACAACAGAAAGAAGTTTGTCAGTTTTTCTAAAAAAACTCTAGAATAAAATAGGTTGTGTTGATTTATTATATGCAGTTTAGTTTTGAAATAGTTGTGCTAATACTGCCATGAGTTACTGTAGGGAATCCAGTCAGCTGACAGAGGCTCCGTGGATAAAACCTCACTAATGCACTCTCGCCTCTCTCTAATCCTTGTTGAGAACGGGACTGAGATACTGCGGCAGGAGGGAGGAGGGAGTCGTTTATGAAGCAAGCTGAGGTTCATGAAGGGGTTACTGATTATTGCTGCTAAAAAGCGGAAGGGAAGACGGTTCTGCTTACATGCAACACCATGGCACAAACAAAACACTTCTCTCACAGGCTAGAAAATAAAGTGAGATCTGAGCTTTCAGCTGGGAGGCTTTCAGGCATCGTCTGAACATGATCCATAAACAACTCGCAGGATGACTTTTAAGAACCTCTTTCTCTCTCTGCTTGGTACGCTGGTCGTTTATCATTGTGCTGAAATGGAATCCCCTTTCAAAGATATAACGGCTTCTTGTTTACTTAAACACAAAGTGGATGATGGGCTGAAAGGTTTTGCTGCCAGCAGAGCAGTCACGGAGAGCTCGGTACAGCTCCGGAGCTGGAACAACTGAGCTGCTCCCACGTGCTGCGCCGAGCCAAACCAGCCGCAGAGCGGACGGGGCGAAGGGAGAGCATCCGTGTCGCAGCCGAGTCCTCGGTGGGTGCCACGAGCCGCCGGCTCTTCGCAGGAGAGGACCCGGGGGTGAGCGAGCCCCAGGTGTGCCTCTGGGAGCCGCAGCATCCCACGTGTCCCTGTCCCTGGGGACCAGCGGGCTTCTGCTGAACTCTGGAGGAACTGAATGTCTGCATGTATTTGTACCAAGGAAGCACATTGTAAAATACAAGGGGAACTCAGCGCTGAGCCACCTCGTGACACTGCCAAGGGTAAAGCTCTCCGTGCCGCGAGGGCAGCGTTCTCATGCGCCCACAGGGTCTCGCTGGGTCTCTGTCCTCGTCCCGGTTCCTCTGCCGAGGTGTCAGCTCTCGCAGAGCGGGAGCACTTGTGCTGAATCCAGGGAAATCCAGCCGGTGGCACGCAGACCGGTAGTTTCCACTGAACTGACAGTTTGCTTTTCGTCAGCAGAGCCCGAGCTGAGCCTCCCTCTGCTGCCTGCCTCCCCTCCGGCTCCGTGCCAGCGTGTCAGGCGGACGGACCCGCGGTGGAGCCCCGCAGCTGGGACTGTATGAGCAGGGTCACGATGGGAACCTGCCGTGTGTTGTCACCTCTCCTCAAGCTGCTGCAGGTTAGCGGGATCCTCCAGTGGGACGTTCCTCGGGGGCTCCGTGGCGCAGAGCAGGGTCCTGCGGGCACGGGGCGGCTGGTTTGGGGCTGCAGCGCAGCTGGCAATGTTTTCTGGGATTTTCTTAAAGCTTTGGTGAGGTTCCCTTCCACAAGTGAGTCTCTGTCCTGTGGGACACCAGCCTCCATAGGGGCCAAGGCATGAACCACACACTCAGGAAGCTGGTTGTCGTTTCATTTTGTGGTTTTTTTTTTAATTTGAAATAACTCTTTGAAGCAGATTCAGGGCAGATACCACTGACCTCTCACCACAAACATTTAACGTGTACTCGCAATGATAAAGTCATACAGCTTAGAACACAAAATAAAGGGTGGGGGGAAGAGAAAGAGGCCGCTGTCCTTGCGTGAGTCCGGGTCCCAGGGCGGGAGAGCGGCTGTTGGGTCGGGGCTGGTCCCGCTGCGCTGGGGTCACGCGGCCGGTCTCGAGTTGAGGCCTTTGGTCATGAAGTCTGGTGTTGGGGTCCTTTGCTGGCTCATACTCCACCTCTCCTCCCTGCAGCATCCCCGCGGGGCCTTGGGGAGGTGGGTTCCCTCCGTCGGCGCTCTCACGCTGCAGCCCCCGGCGTGCAGCCTCCTTAAGCATCGTGTTTGTGGTCTGTCGGGTCCGTGGGTCGGTCTGGGGGTATATGTCTGTCTTTCTGGACATGTGTACATCTTGTGTAGCAGTGCTCTGGTTCAATAAAGCTTTCATATACATAGCAGCAACGGAGTCTTGCCTTCAGGTGACGCAAAGGGGCAGCTACGGGGCAGGGCTGGCGGAGGCGGCGGGCGCCGCGGCCCCCCTCTGTTTGCTCTTTCTCTTCTTGGTGCCAGACTTCGTGTCTTTGGTGTCTTTCCGATTTCTGTTCCCATTTGCATTATCTTGCTTTCCTTGCTCTTCCTTTTTCTTCCTTTTCCCTGCAGCAAAGCAAAGGGGCAGCGTGAGGATCTCCGGCAGAGCCAGCTGGCCCGTGGCCCCTGCTCTGGGGGTGGCCCAAGGGCCCATGCCCCCCCAGAGCCACCCTGTCTGCCCGGCTCTGCTTGCGCTGCAAGCTGTTGCCTAAATATAAACAGGGAAGAAGGATCAGGTCAAGATTGAGCTTTGGAGCTGTCGGTCTCCAGCAGAAGCGTTAGCGCCTCTATCTCCCGGCGGCTGCGTGCCGAGCCCCTGCGCTAACGCTTCTGCTGGGGCATCAGAGGCTCCAGCCGCCGCTGCTTCACCCGTTAGTCACGGCTCAGAACGTGCTTCCCGCACAACACTCAACCCAGCTGCAATCCTCCTCCGTCCCATCAGAGGATGAGCAAACTACCATTCATCCCGAAGACACTCAGATTCCTGGGAAAACACAGACTGAAGCGTTCTGGCGGAGGAGAGGATGACTCCCATCGCCGCAGCACACGGGCGTGCACCTCCAGCCGCCTCGCTGCTCCCTGCCCAGGGGAGAAGCTGGGATATCTGAGAGCCCGTGGGACACGTGCTGAGCCACGCTGAGGGTCACCCACCCTGGGGCTGTGCCGGCTCCACCCAGGGGTCTCTCTAGCTGCCGTCATGTTGTGTCCCTGTGCCGCGGAGGGGCAGTGACATGCACAGCGCATTTATGATACTGGGCGGTTGGCTGAATACTTGTGTCTGGCAAAGAAATGGTGCTGGGGAGGGATGGGGAGATACCCCGGTTGGCTCACCTTCGGGGCACTGGCTCTTCTGCACCGTGCATCGCCGCACCTCTGTGGTGGCAGGACACAGGGACACATCTCCGGAGGGAGCCTGCAGAATCCGCCGCGTTCGGTCTTCATTGCCCTTCTTGAAGCCGCAGAGCTTCCTCTTCTTGGAGCAGGGCCCCCAGGGTCCCCACTCACTCATTTCACATTGTGCTGCCAGATAACAAGAGAGGACAGCAGTAACTCTTGTTTCTCCATTGTTGCCTCAGGACTTCCCAGAGCCCCGGCACACCATCACACCTCTTCCTCCTTGCTGGAGGTGTGAAGGGTCCATGTGTTTCCCCAGCAGCTCCCTGAGCTCCCCAGGCCCCCCCTTCCCCGCCGTGCAGCTCACTCTGAGTCACGCTTCACAGACACACGGCAGCAGCGCCGGGTGCTGCTCCCCGTCTGGGCTGGCTTCCAGCGGGCTCTGCCCTCGGAAGGGCCGGGGCTGGCCCGGACCCTCTCGACACGGGTACAGTGAGCCATGGTCTCTGCGGGGTTTGTTTTCTCATCTAAACCCAGCTGCAGCCGTACGTGTGACACAAACAGCTCAGTGCCGGTGCCCGAGCATCGCTTACCAGGGCTGCTGCACTCCATGGTGCCGTTGGCAGCAGAGTAGCCTTCGGGGCACGTGACGTAACACCTCCCTTTGTGCAAATACAAACCTTCCTTACATTTTGTGCAAAAGTTTCGACTGAAACAGGACTCACAGTTCTCAATTTTGCATTCTGGGGAAAAAAAACACAAAGCCATCATGTAGCCTGATGCAGAAGACTCGGGAAGCTCTTGGCTGCTGACTGGAGTCTGCTCTTGGCCCCAGGGGGTCTGCCAGCAGCCGGGGCAAGTCTCTGAGCATCCTGCCAGGCCTGGATGTGCTACTCAGATAGAAGTTCGTTTTCTTTGCACCGTTCCCTGGCACAGGACAGAGCTGCTGTGCTGCAGCTCTCGCAGGCAGCAGCAGCCGCTGGCGGATCGGGATTGGGCAGGGTGGGAAAGGTTTGGGCTGGTGCTCAGGCTGAGCATCACTCAGCCAAATGGGACACTGCGAGGAGTAGGGTCCCGTATTGGCTGGTCCCGCCCCACCAAGGGCCGCAGGGGACAGGCGGCGCCCCGTTTTTGCCTGCTCCAGCCACAGCATGGGCTGCAGAGAAAGGGAGTCAGATGGAAACCTGTCCCTGAAGCTGCCAGGGAAGGGATTGTGTTTTTCCATGTCTTGCTTCCTTCTGGTGCTCTGGCTGAAAGGGGCAGCCCCAGGCCACGGATCGTGTTCAGAGAGCTGCCTGGCTCTGCCTCGGGAGAAGGAAAGGTACTTGTGCGGGCAGGACCTGAAAAACTGCAAGGATCTCCCGCCTCCCTCTCGCCCGTTCCTCGCACCCCGTACTCACTGATGCACTTGTTCATGTCTGTATTGCGAAGGCCAAAGTATCCCAGTGGACAGGACGGCAGGCAAATCCCGATTTGCCGGATGTCATTCCTCTCCAGAAGGATGAAGAGTTTGGGGGAACACCTCAGGCACCCGTTGAACTCGGAGCACAGGTCGCAGCCCCTGGCACAGCCCTGACTCAGCTCAGTGCTAACTGGGGGAGCAGAGAGGCTGCGGTTAGTGCCTGCCCGCGCGGCCGGGCTCTGCTCGCACCAGCTCGGCCCCAGAACACTGGCATGTGCCCTGTCGGAGCCAGCAGTGCTGCCCCGCCGAGCTCCGGGCACACTGTAGGATGAGCGGGGACCAGAGCCACGCCGTGCTGGAGCAAAACCATCTGACTGATTCTGCTCCACGCTTCGAGCCAGGCTGCGTCCCGAGCTAGATCTCACCCTGACCCCGCTTACGTTGACTGTATCTGGCAGTGCGGGAGATTCCACTGCCCCCAAAATAGAGATGTGTTCTCAGCTCCTCAGTTCAGTCCAAGAAAAATACTCAACCCCATGTCTTGAGAGTTTTCTGCTTTTAATTATCGTATAAATGCTGCTTGTTTTGAAACCAATAGCATTCTTTGCAGGCTAGAATGCAGGTTATTTTTATTAGTTTATTATGCAAGCAGTGTCCTTGTTTATAGAAAAGCTGTGTATTTTAAAAATGTATTCTTTTAAATACTGTGTTTACTACACTTCAAGCGCAGAGCACCACTGTGTTCGCATGCCAGACCGAGAGGTAAGAAGATTTCCCTCTTCCCCCGCAGTGACCCAAGACCCCAGCAGCTCCCCAGCCGCCCGTCCCAGCCCCATCACTGGGTCTGCGGGTGCAGAGGCTGCCGCAGCCTCGGGGAGTGAAACAGAAAGGGGAGGGGGTCCCCAGCCCCACGGACCCTCAGTGCCCGGCTGCCAGGAGGGTTTGCTGGGTCTGGACTGGGATCTGGCCCCATCCCTCCTATGGCGTTGGGCTGCGGTGCCAAGATCTGCTGCTATGGGAAAGGTATAATCAGGCCCTTGCTGGAAATTGCACTTTATGGCATCAGCCATGACATCAAGTTTTCCTTGCTCTCCCAGGGCTCAGCAGTCCCAGTTTTAATATAAAATAATTTTTCTATAATTTAATTTAAAAATAATGTAAAACCACTCTAAATCGAGCTTAAATAAAGGGGGGCAAACCGATGGGGCTGCTCTTGTGCCCGTTCAGCCTGGTTGCCTGTGTGAGCTCCGGCTGGCACTAGCCAAGCACCATCCAGGCTGGAGGGATAGTTCAAACCC